CAGGAGTGTGCAATTATTCTGGGCAAAAGCAAAACAGAACTCTGGTGTATTCAGTTTTGCAAGTGCATCACAAAATGATGGTGCTTATGTTCAGAACAGTGGGAGGACTTAGGCATTGTGATGAGTTGTCAGATTTGTAGCCACTGTGAGTTGGCAGCAGGAACCACCCAAGTGCCATTAGAAGATGCTGAGGGTGAGTGTTTCTCACACACACCCTTGCTTTCAATCCAGAGTCTCTCTCAGACTGTTGGGGTTACTGCTTGTGTTTCCTGTAAATAGCAGCTCAAAGGACATCACAGTGAAGACTGGAAGACACTAAATCTCAGGACCTCTTCCCATTTTAACTAAAGAAGCAGGGAAACAGAAAGAGGTAGCTTAGCATTTTATGCTCCTCAGATAATATATTGTGAGTGGAAATTAAAGAAGAGATGAGATGACAAACACATTTGTAATGTTAATAGGTTCTAGTCATCATTAGAAACTTCCCGGTGTGATAGGATTGAAGAATTTACCCCATTGTTGGCATTTATTGCTGCACAGCCACCATGCCATCAATAGCCAATCAGCACCCACCGTGCACAGCAATATAATATTTATGTGTGGTTACATGAACATCTGAGTTTTAGCCTTCTTCATTTTTGAAAACAGTTATTTTGGATGCTCTCCAATCATTTTGTTTGTTTATCTCAAGTTCCAATCTCTGTATGTGAAGGAAAACTAGATTTCTCAAAAACAGATGAATTTGTGTTAAAATCAATTTATAAAGCTTACCATAACAAATGGTGAAGCAAGTAATCTGCGTAGACAGAAATGGCTGAATTAACCAATCACTGTGGGCCACCAGGAGCTACAAACGGGGCCAGTACGGAAAATATGCCAATAACATAAGATACATAATCAGCATAAGGTCAAAATAGCAATAGGTAGTTTTTCAACAAAGTTAACAAACATTTTATATACTTTAACTTTCCTGTGAGAATGAGTTAAGAGTTTCTTCTAAAGCTCTGCAGTTCAATGGAGCTGCAGGAGCCGCATCGCAGTGTGCCATAGCTCCACCATCTGTAGACAGCTCCTTCCTGCTTCTGCTTTATTTCCAAATGGGCTGATGTCAGTCTTGTTTTCATTATTTTGTTTTTATTGTTTATAGTTAGACAGTTTCATCCACTATGTGATGAGACCCTGTGGACATCTGATAGTTTGAGTTATTTTGTACAAGTAGCCACTCAATTTTTCAGAATAAGTGACTTTAGGTAGTTACATTTATTCTGTTTCCATGTCTGTTACAGTACCATTGCTCTGCCAGAAACCCTTGTGATTGGTTAGTTCTGTGTGTGGGGGAGAATTAAGGAATAGTATTTGAGTCCAAACTTGTTGACAACAGAGAAACATAGTAGATGGAGCAACAGGACTCTTTATGCACAGACTGGTGTCAGGATGTAGCTTTTCCTGAAAGTCAATAAACACTGGAGCAGTAGGAAGGCTTTCCACGGGGTTATGGATTACACAGAAGACAGGTCCAAACTTATCCAGCCATGGAACTGTATCCCAAGATTTTGGAGATATATATGTGGTGTTTCTTATATTTCTTTTAAGCCCTCTCAAAACACTATTGCTATGCTTTATAAAGGCTATCTCTTTGTTGTATTTTCACCTCAGTCACTGGATCCCTGTCACCAAGTAGCAGTCTGTCCTGTCCTAAGTACTTGGTGACATTAGCTCAGGGAGGGACAGTTACCTGCCTAGGCCCAGAGCAGCAGTATGGTTCCTACCGTTGCATTCATCCTTCTTTCCTGGTGTGTCTCCTCAGGCTCCCGTTCTGTACTAGGGACACTCCTTACAAAGAAGCAAAGCTTTAGGGTTCCAGCCACAATGATATAGCCTTCACTGAAAAACACTGTGGTCAAAAGGCACTATAAAGCTGGACATAATGCACTGATGGAGTAAAGATTTCAGTGACTGTGATCTCTGGGAAAAGGGAAAGACAACACCCTGAGCACCATGTTGGGGTGCTTTTCAGGGTGGGCAAAGGGGGACTGTCCACTGTTGCTTTGACAGACAAAACAGCCAACTAGAAAGGGGAAGTTTTGCAGGGCAAAGAGTTAGGATAAAGATCAGAGGAGCCATCCTGTGTAGGATTTGGGGTGTATATTCCCCAGGGTGGGGGTAGCTTCATCATTGCCAGGGTCTGAGTATTAGCCAACACCTAACTGGCATATGCAGGGCCTAGCACACCAAGAACCTTAAATGCAAGGATGTCTGTGAGGAGGCTGGGTTGCAGAACATGAATTTCACAGTCACATTGGCCTGAGGACCTGGAATTTGAAGCCAAGTTGGACCAAGAGCAAAAGACTTGAAACACATTGAGGTATTAGCAGAGTTCAGAGAAATCATTTCAAGAGGGAGGGAAACACTTCAAGACTAAGGGCAAACTGAAGAGTCTCACAAGTCCAAGATGATTGTGAACATGACAGAGGTGACCTGCTAATGTTCCATCAGAAGAAGAAGCCTTATCCCACGGAGAGGAAAATGATGTGGAGAAGCTTTCATAGGTGACACTGTTTAAAAAGGAGTGAATGATAGTGAGGAAAGAAGGAGAGGAGAGAGGGAGGAGAGGAAAAGAAGAATCAATAATACATTGGATGAAATTAGATCTTAATGTCACATTATATTTAAAAATCAACTCAAATAAGAGACTTAAATGTAAGACCTTCTTGACATTGATCTGGCTAATGACTTTTCTTTTGAATGTGACTCTAACACACCAGTAAGGAAGTACTAATTAAATTATGTCAAATTTAAAAGTTCACAGAAAGGGAAACAACCAATGGAGTAGGAAAAACTGCAGAATGTCAGCTAACTATACATCTGATAGAGGTTGATATTCAAAATATGTGGGGAACTCAAAGAAACCAATGGCAAGAAGACAAATAGACTGATTAAAAATGGACAAAAGAGCAGTATAGACATTCTTTCAAAGAAGATATTCAAAAAGAGTTGGGCATCATTCCTAATCATGGAAATGCAAAATAAACTAGCCTGGTCTACACATGCTAAATTCCAGGACAGCCAGGGCTACATGGTAGACCCTGTCTCAAAAAAAAAAAAAAAAGGAAAGGCAAAATAAAACTGCAATGAGCTATCATCTCACAGCAGCTGGAATGACTGCTGTCACAGAGCTGAGACGTGACTATTGGTGGAGATGAGAAGAGGGACTCCTCACATACTGTGGGTGGGAACACACAGCAGACATTGAAGTATAGCTACCACTGATCCAACAATTCTACTACTGGCTATGTATGCAAATATGCTGAGACCAGTATGTGTCAGAGATACGTGTGTGTTCATGCTTATTGCCACATTCTTCCCAATATTCAAGATATGGATCAACTTGAATGTCTATCAATGAACAGATGAATAAAGAAAACACAGTATTTATTCACTCTCGATGGAGAAGGAAGTTCTATCATTTACAACATTGGTGAACTTGGGAGGGGGCTATGCTTAGTGAAATAAGCCTCGTGTGATCCTGTATGATTTCACCTTTATGTGGAATCTGGAGAAAGCTGGAATCAAAGAAGCTGAGAATAGGATGGCAGTTACTTGAGGCAGATAGGAGATATTGGTCCAAAGACACAAAATTTCATCTCTATTTCAGCATGATGACTATCATTAACAATGACATGTTGTCCACTTGACTACTGCTGAGAGCATTTGAATGTTGTCATAATGAATGAATATGAATGTAAGAAACATAATAATTAGCATGATTTATGTATTTAATAATGTATGCACATTTCAAAACATTGTATATTTCTTAAAACTGTGATTTTTATACTGTCATGGAGAACACAAACTGCACCTTGAATTTTAAGATTCAGTCTATTGCATGAGATGCATGGGAGTTATTTAAGGAAAAGGCAGGACCTTTGTTACTCAAGAGTAGACTTTAAACCTGGGTTTTGTTCTCACATACTGACCTAGCCACCTGCAAGTCTGCATGACCACAGCCACTCTGAATCTGTCTGTTCTGCTACAGAAATGAATTGACACTTATCTTAAAGGGTATTTTAATTAATAAAATGCTTTATATAGGAAGATTGCTTAGAGTAATAGGTAGCCAATAAATATTGACCCTCATTTTCTATTACCAGTGGAGAGGATGGGATAGCATGTATTTATCTAACATCACTTATACCCCAAACCTAGATGAAAGAATATACAATACCCATTTTCTATCTGTTTTTCAAAAGAGAGAATGCTAATGATTACCCAAAATATCTGCATATTGTGGATTAGTCATAACTACAGTTTCTTAAAGCTCTGAGTGCTGCAAATATCTGAGACAAGACACTGACTGTTACACAATGAGCTGCATGTTCTGGCTTGCCTTTCAACAATCATGCCTATTAAGTCATTATCACTGACACATCTAACGAAGTCATGCTCACAATCAGCTTAAACACAAGGCACAGTATAGTACATATTTTGACAGGAAAGCTGTTTGTATAAACTGAAACATGAAGCAAATATATAATTGCACAAAATGTTCATTATGCTTTAAGTGTGACAGTCTTTGGCTTGAATCCATTTAGGAAAATTTGGACACTCTGAAATAGATTGTTTGGGGTACCATTTTAACAAAAAGATTAGTTTCTTGCAATTTCCTGTCTAGCAGTTGAAGGGCTGAACACGCAGCAAACTCTGACCCACATACTTTCTCCTGAAATCTTCAAATGCTGGAGGCGTTACCTATTTCCAGATAAGTACTGTGTATCACTGAAACTGCAATTAGACATGAGCACATGAAGATGAGCAAGCAAGAAACTGCCTACAAATAGTCCTTTCCTTGCATGTTAGCAAGGATCGCAGGTTCTAGTGAATCCATCAGTTAGCCAGGGGCTGAATACTTTACCTGTAGAGCCCTTTACAAAGAGGCTATGACATTTGTCTCTGTTATATCTGATCCCCAGTGCCACGTGCTAATTAGAAAGGGGACTTACATCGCTCTCATGACCTTCTCGAAGGTTGTATGTGAGGTCGTGCTGGATGTCTTCTACAAATTTGTGTGCGTACTCAGGGTAAAGGCCCAGGACCTCAAAGAGACCTTTAAGGATGATACACTGAAGATCACAGTAAGTCAGAGCCTTCACGTCAGCATTGGTCTTGATCACTTGGTCTTTAATTGATAGATTTGCTCCAATTAAATCCCCCTTCCCTAGGAAGAGTGAAAAGAAAAAGAACCATATTGTTTTGAAAAAAGGCAGAGCAACTGGGGCCCAGTCCCTTCATTTGCCTTACAGACTCCACTTCTCTCAATTGTACAAGAAAGAGAAGATCACTGTGAACAAAGATACTCAATTTCAGCAGTACTGAGAGTTGGGGCTCCATTGCTTTTTTTGCTGTGGTATGCAAGATGTTAATACCTTCAAACGTTGTCATGTGTCCTGTGTGGATAAAACAGTCACTGGTTATGAACACTGGTCTAGAGGACATGGGTGGATGATTCAGGTATCCTAGATCATCCATGGGTTCTAAGCAGCTCTCTGAAAGAATTTGGAAAATGACTTTGGACCAGTCAATTTGTCAGTCACTTTAACCATTCAGGGGGTAGTAATAACTAATTTTCCTAGGTGGAAAAATGGCTCTGAGCTTCTCAGGTCAGTGCATCAGGAAACCTATTGTCTAGATTCTAGAACTTTTGGTAGTAACAGAAGTGTGATATTCAACAGACTAAGGTTCTTTCATTTACTTGTGACCATGTCTTCAAGATGGACAGGGGGGTGAACTGCAAGGAGAAAATCTCCATCCCTTTTCTGAGTCAGGGGTAGGGGTTGAACATTTCGGGCCATGGTTTGCATATGTAACATCAGAGGATGCCTCTCAGTTGTCATGTTTTGTGACAGTGAAAGAATGTCTTTCTCCACTTAGACAGGAAGTCAACAGACCAAAAACTAGGGTCTCACATGATGACTACTCATGGGTCCAATGTACCCCAATTCCCCTTATCTAGCAGCAAGCAATACTGCTGTCTACAATAATTCAGCTGCCTTCTGGGAGCTAACTTCCTTGTTTGTTGATGAGCTAATATTGGACAATTTCATCTTTTAAATCTTTTAAGTGATTTCAAGATTTGAAAGTATCAGAAAGGAGAAACAGCCTCCAGGGCCAAGATATTACTGAATTTAACTTCTGCTGAACTTTAGACACAGCCACAAAGTCACCCAGAAGCCACACAAAAGACATGAATAGACCTTTAATTCAAACTTGGGCTGAAGGCTGGAGGAGCAGGAGTATTTCACAGAGATCATTAGACAATGGTGTTAACCTGGGTTTCTAGCGAGTCTTCACAAAGAACACTGTTCCCAGGGATTAACTATGATTATCTAAACAGTCTTTTTGCTATCTTGTAAGCAACTGAGGTCAACAGCTGCACAGTCCTCAATACTAAGGAGGCCATGCCACTAAAATATTATCAAGTGGGCTGGAGAGATGGCTCAGCAGTTATGATCACTGGCTGTTCTTCTAGAGGTCCTGAGTTCAATTCCCTTCAACCACATGCAGCAACCCCATGGTGGCTCACAACCAACTATAATGGGATCCGAATGCTATGCAGACTGAGCACTCAAATACATAAGATACATAAATAAATAAATCTCTTTTTTAAAAGGGAATGTTATCAAGTAAATTGCCCCACGTCCATATTCCATTATTTTCTTTAATTTATCATTTTCCTCATTATAATATATTAATTCATTATTTGGGAATTTCATACAGTGCACCCCAATCACACTTGATTCCCATTCCCCCCAGATCTACCCTCCCACCCTTGCGCCTTCCCCCCCCCCAAAAAAAAAACCAAAAACCAGAACCAAAAAACCCACCAAATCCAATTTGTGTTGCCCACATACTCTTTGTAGCGTGGTCAAACTCCCAGTGGCGAGCCTCTTAAAGAAAATTGAGTACAACCCCCACCCACCCCCTCATCCCCGCCCCTACCTCCTGCCAGAAACCATCAACTGTGATGAGCTACACATCAGCATCTTTATAACAGTTTTTGAGGACTGTCTTCAATAGCTTCCTGCCTGGACTGTTTCTTTTTTTGGGGGGTGGGGGGTTGTCACAGAAGCCTTCAATGTCTCTCATTTTCAGTTATGAGTCTGCAGTCATTGATACTGCTGCAAAAGAAGCTGCCAACAGCAGGCGGTGGCAGGACAGATCATGAACTTCCACATGGTTTCTACCTGGTCCCCAGCAGCATCAGGGATCACAGATATCAACTTGGACTCTGGTGGCAGTGTGGACCATGGAAGTCTTTTGAGTAAACTTAATCCAGAAAATGAACTATTCTTCATCTCTGGTATCTTGCTGCTCAGAGTCAGGGCGATCTTGTGGCTGGGCAGTGAGTCTGCTGGCAGGATCTGCTCGAGTCCCAGGACATTGTATTCCACCCTGCCCTTGGTGCTGGCCACCCCGGGCATAGCCATCGTGTCAGTAGTTCTTGGACAGTGGCCTCAAGCTCTCCTCCCCGCAGCAAGGAGAGCCACGCTAGGGGCGGCAGTTACAGCAGAGAGGCTCTATGCTGTGGGTCAGGTCTGCAGATGGAGCAGCAGCACCGGCATGGTGTGTGACAAAAGGCCAAGGCAAGCCCAGTGGTAGCCTGCGACTCTGGGTGGCTCAAGGACCAATATTACTCAGGACGACGTGGTCTTTTCCCACCACTACCACATGGCCATACCTGCCTCCGACTTCACATCTCTAGTTTGGCTTCTCTCTGCTGTGATTGCTGCTCCATTATGCCATCTTCGCCCTGCCCCCAATTCCATGAAATCACTTTTTAAAAGCATCTTCCCATAATACCTGCCTTCTTTTAGTTGTTCATAGAAGCCTCCGTGGATCTTTGAGGTTCCTCAGAGCGGCTCTGAGGCCCTGTGGGTACTGGCAGCTAATGCCACATTATTTATAATAGACAAAATTCCAAGTCATGTTCCTCACCTGGCAGCGCTCTGGCTCCGGCTTGAGTTCTGGTGGTGGCAGTGGTGGCCACAGCTCCTCCATCTAATTTCTAAATGTTTATATTTTATTGTATTCAACATTTTTGAAACAAAATTCCTGACCAGAAACTCATAAAAGCCCATTCTATTTATTAGCAAAAGGAAACATGAAATTAATCACATATGCTTGATATATTCAGATTGTGTATGAAATAAAAAATTGAAGGTAAGTTATCAAATTCTATCAAATATTAACTTCAAATTAATATTAGATTTAAACATTGAAATTAAGTCTACTTTGGCAGAAGAAAACAAAGCATATTATAGTTTATATTTTTAGTTTCTGGTCACCTTTGGAAAAATTCAAGCCTGATTTATTGTTGTCACTAATATTGCTAAAATTGAAATTATGTTTTTCTGAAAAATCTACACAGTCGCTTAACAACGTAAAGTAGAGGATGGACGTAAGATACAATCATAGACAGGGAATAATCAGCACAGCGACTCTACATTTGTCTATTTGAGGATGATTACCAGGACAGTGTCATGTAGGAGATTCTGTTATGCCAGGGACATTTGGAGCAATGTTAAGGCTACCATACTTTCATATTTATGGTTGCTGTGGTATGACTATAAGCAGAATTCTGCAAACACTTAGCTAAATTTGGCACCTTGGAAAGAATTCCAGTTTTGTTTTTGACTTGGTGAGTTGTTCATGGAGCATGAATAATGGGTTGAGTCTCACACTGAGTTCTGGCTAGGCTTCCTTGTCTCAGTAACTGCTCTGTAGATTCCCCCCTGCTTTTATTTTGAGATTCCGGAAGTATTATCTTAACTACTCCAGGTCTTAGTATCCTTATTTCCGAAAGAAAAGAGTTATTTCTCTGGTGGCTGTGGGTTATGGGTAGTCTCCATCTTTTCAGAGCTGGTCTTTGAGGATCAACAACAGTAACAAAAAGGGATATTAATTACATAGAGGAAGATAAATATCATCTGCCAGGACACTGTTTATCACTCATTGCTATTTTCTGCCTTCATGAGAAATTCCTGGGACAAGTCTCTCCAGGCATCAGATCTGGAAATGCTTCTGTGTGCCGATTGGAAGATGGTGTTGCTTTAGCTCTTATATAAACACTCCTTCTCACAAGACTGCTAATTCATTTCAGTGATAGAATGAACTCTTGTTAAGTAATTAGAGACCAAAGATGAAGCTGTATGTGCTGTGGGATAATGCAGTGTAGGTTGAATGAGCTGCATGAAATAATATTAAGATGAAGAAAGTTACAACATTCCATTAACATGTTAACCTTGGATCTTCACTTGTCTATGGCATCATATCAGAGTTTAGAATGATCATGGGACAAGCTGAACTTACACCAGTTTGGGTATATACATGGTGGGAGCAGAGCAGTGAAATACCATCATAAAATCACAATTTATGGAGAAATTTGGAGCATGGAGCAAAAGAGCAATTGAGCAAATCTTTCAGCAACAAGTAATTTTTAGTTATAAGAATTATTACTATTGGATCATGTTTTATAAGCTATAGCAGTGACATAGAAGCCATTAAATTTGCACCTTTTTGCTCTAATGTCATGGATACCTTCATTTTTCATCCCTAAAACTGTTGCTAGTCACCAAATTTAAAAATGGATAAGAATTAAAAGAAAAGCTTGGCTATTTTTAAATGGTGTGTTATATCTGCTTGCATGTATGTCATATCTGAAAAAATGGCCAGATGCTCTCAAAAGTAGGCTGTGTCAAGAGGAAAATCAGCAGGCTATAAAAATTTCAGTGGCACTAGGGAAACCCATGGGGAAATATGATTTAAACAATGTTTTGGAAGCAAATTAGAAATCATTGTCAATTCTAAGCCAGAATCACAAAATGGTAGAATGATTGTTCTTCAACTTTACAAGTCAAGAAGAGGGAGAGTTCCATGTAGGTTCCCCAGCTGTGAATGTGGGTGACAGCTGTGTGGCTTGATCTGTTTGTAGGGCCCCTGGCAGTGGGATCAGGACTTATCCCAGGTGCATAAGCTGGCTTTTTGGAGCCCCTTCCTTATGGTGGAATACCTTGTTCAGTCTTGATGCAGGGAGCAGGGGCTACGTCCCGCCTCAACTTGGTATGCCAGACTTTGTTAACTACCCAAGGGAGGCCGTACTCTCTTTGAGGACTGGATGGGGGGTGGAATTGGGGGGAGGTGGGGTCCAGAGAAGGGGAAGGAGAGTGAACTGGGGTTGGTATGTAAAATGAAAAAAATTTTAACACAAAAGAGATAATAAAAAGAAAAAGATGGAGGGACTGTTTTAGCATCTTCTGCACTTACACAGACGAGAACCTCACAGAAGGCTAATAAAAACTGAGTCAAATCTTGAAGGGCAAGCCCCACCTTTCTGCTGTTAGTGAAACTGAAGTTCACAGGAAGCAGTGAAAGCTGCAGTCACAAGGTTCTGACAGCACTCAGTCACCAGCAGTCCCTTTTAGTTGATGCTGTCACAATGTCATAGTCTATTGGCTATGCTATAGCACAATGAAGCTAAGGTATGATTTATTTCTCATGGTTCTGGAGCTGAAAAGTCCAAGGTGAAGGCTTTGGCAGGTTTAGTGTATAATAAAGGCCAACTTTCTCTTTCTTACCCACTGACTTATTGTGATATCGTGGCAGAAAAAGCCAAGTGCTTCTCTGAAGCTTCCACTTTGGAAGGAACTAATCATGTTCTAGGTTCCCACATCCTAATTTCATCTTGCCAAGGACTGAGTTTCAGGAGATGAATTTGGAAAACACATTCAGATTTGACAAGATTTTAGGACTTGATAATGGACCTAAGGCACTGGTTTATATTTGGGCCTCAAGAATTATCACTTCTCTCTTCTAAAATATAATCTGTCTGGAAGCTCACCACCTCAGTAGCAGACCGACAGAGCTGACATAAGATGATATGTATTCTTTAGATAAGGAAGGGGCAGTGGCCTACCATACAGAATCAGAACATGCTTCTCTATCTGTGTCTACATTCTGTGAAGGTTTAAACGTCTCATGTGCTGAAGTACTTTGTAAAGCATTGTTCACAAATCAGTTTCTTAGAAAATTAGAACAAAAAGTGCTGTGTTAACCATTTGCTGACATGATTTTAGACATTGTTGTATTACATCACAGTTTAAAAGGTACCTGGGATTCATCTGATGCTCAACCTCCCCACATCCCTGAGCAAATTTTCCATCTTGTCCTTCTCTTGAATTTAAACCCAATAAGGGCAAAACTTCTAGCAATTTCTGTAATCCACATTCTTAGTGCTCAGACCACTGTCCAGTTCACTGCCATCCTCAGTAAATAAACAATAAACAAATGAGAGTGAATTAAAAAAAAACTCATCAAGTTGAGAGATGATTTTTTCCAGATTAGCCCACATAGCATTTTCTGCCAGCTCCCTTTTATATTTCAATGAAAAACAATTATGTCTAGTATTTGAAGTCAACGTCATGGCACAGAGTTTTCACAGTTATGAGTTTTCTTTGAAGAACTAAAAGGAGCTTGTGTAACCCTAGCAGTATTAGGTTAATGGCAGTGATGAAATTTGTTCTCAAAGTTAAATCATTTTTTTGCGCTATTTCTGGCACAGATAAAAATTCTAATGTTCTTGGGACTGGCTCTCCACAAAATATAGAAATTCTCCACACAAAATGAGCTGCTATTCCATAGGAGGCTGTATGCATTGTGATTAGAAATCAGGAAGACTTTACTATACATGGAATCTGGGTACAGTTATCTAAGAGGACATTTACTCACTTGTAAAATGAAGATGAAATTTACTGCCTGAACTTTGTTTATATAAAAATAATGATATGGTGTATATATAACACTTAAGTCAATTGAACACCATAAGGGGTCCATACATGTGTCTGTAATTTGCCAACTCTTATTAGCATTGCCTTTTCCCTACTTTGTATTCCTCATACTCCAGAGTAAAATTTCAGAGTTTTCAGCCCAAACCTACCTAGAATAGCCAATACCATGCTGTCTTTAAGAACTTCCATGGAGCCTGAGCACACAAAGTAGATGGCCTGCAGAGCATCTCCCTGGCGCAGCAGATACTCTCCTGGAGCACAGAATGATGTTTTGATGTGGAGAGACAGAGATCTAAGGCAGCCCCGGCTGGCACATTCAAACAGGGACAGCTGTAAGATCTCCTTGTTTAGATGCATTGTGATGTCAGAGCGCAGCTCATCTGGAAAGTCTTTCAAAAGCTGTTGGGGAGAAAGAAAAGTGTAAGTTGGGGCTAGTCAGTGATTTTGCAAGACACCAATGGTGCTCTTCGTACTTGGGTCAACTGCACTATATAAGAGGAGGTTGATGTATTCTTTGAGATTCCTCTGTACAATCTCCAGGGCTATATAGTGACAATGACCTTAATTATGTATTACCAAATAATAAATAATAAACCTGATAATAATATTGTAAATAATAATAATAATAATAATAATAATAATAATAATAATTGTTATTGTTGATAATAAACCTGGAGAAATTTTTAAAAATTCTAAAGTATCCTGGTAGGAAGGCTTGTGACACTTCTGTCAAGAGTCCTATTGCGGATAGATACAGGGGTTTGGACCCACTGTCCTTTCTCAATGTGTCATCATCATATACAGAGATCAAATATTAAAATACTTGCCACTAAGTTTCAAATATGAGAGAAAATGTGGTATTTGCCTTTCAGTGTTTGGCTTACTTCATTAAACATATTAATCTCTAGTTCTATCCATTTGTGCCCTGAAAATGACATAATTTTTATGTATGGGAGTAGCTATGAAAGTAGAAAGGGGACCATCATAGAGGAAGAGGGGATCTTAAGGGAGGGCTAGGAGGGGAAAAGAGAGGATTGTGGACTACATGTGGCATGAAAGCAGAGGGTTTAGTGGGGCCCAAGAAGGAACCATCAGGAAGGGACTCCCATCCCTCCTCCTTGAGGGGTTGAGAAAGCAGTAAATAAAAATATAGCATGTATAAAGCTGGGTTATTTTATAAATTAACTAAAAGAATATTGGGTTGGTTGATGTGTTGGTGGACTAGTTATTGTTTGGGGCTGTTTCTTGAATTCTACAGATAACCATATTTGCCTATAACTTGTTTCTTTTTTAACTTTAGATCATGGTAGCAAGTTTACATTGAGTAATCACTGAACATTATGACATTAAATTGTCTTAAGGATGAATACTTTCAAAAAACACAATGAGAAAGAAAATAAATTCATTTGATTGAATAAACTAGTAAAATGTTATGAAACTGTCATCACAGAGTGGCATTGTAAAAACATCAGTCCTAATGCATAAAGGATGGTAGGATGTAGGTCCATGATGGCAAAGACAAAGAGATAAAAAGGCTGGTAAATGTGTCCCTCTCTTATGCCTACATTAGAATACCTTCCCTTTACTTGACAATATGTGATTTCTGCCTGAAAATGTCAAAATAAGAAAGGCACAATACCTCATTTGAATCTATTCCATTGTTGACTGACCAGGTTGTCTGAAAGTACTCAAGCATCCTCTGCTTGAGCTGCTGAGGCAGGTGATGCACACGGATGAAATCCTTTAGGTCCTTGGTTCTAGTGTGATACAGACTCCACCTGGAGTACATTCTCTGTATAATGGCAGTCACATTTCCAAACACCAAGGCATGCATCAGAGCTAGAGAGCACAACAGAACACAGGATAGTAAGACAAAGGCTCCTTGTACATATAAGTCTAGTTTACAGATGGGTTAGAGTAAAACATGCTTATGTGGCCATACTGATATGATTGCTTTGCTTAGGAAGTTATGGGCACAGCCACTCTGTCGTAAGATCACTCAATCCCCAAGCAGTTGTTTTCCCTTCCCATGGCTTGATCCAAGTAAAAATAGCTTTAAAGATAATAATAATAATAATAATAATAATAATAATAATAATAATAATAATTAATAATACATGAAGTAGACCCTTTGACACACATGCAGTCTCTTAGCTGTCATGTGGATCTGAAAACTTTTACTTTGAATTCTATCAGCATATTATTTCAGTAGTTACACATAGTCTAATAGCTATGATACAATTCTATCAATACTTTCAAAGGATAAGCTTTAAACTTACAGTTAATTACTGTGTTTCACAAACAGATCTGCTTAAAAGACAAGTCTACTCTAAGAACTGGATAGCGATTTTTGTAATTTTAGTCTCACAGGCCAAAATCATTACTTTAAAGTCTCGGGATATAGCTAAGTGGCATAGCACTCACTTAATTCATGTATGGCCAGGGTTTGAATCTATGAACCACAAAATAAGTAAGTAAATAAAAATAATAACAGAATATTAAAACTGGTGTATTCACATTACTGTTAATATTAAGACAGTTGTTATAAATGTAAGGATTCCCTGATAAGTGGGAAACTGAGGTGATTATGAGTTCAATTCTCATCCTCACTTCAGCTTTGCAAGTACTTTAATCTTAAGGGAGAAAGCTCAAAATCTGAGACCATGAAAGTTACAAAATAGTGTACTCAAGCACAGACACTTGATGTAGGGTGCTGTCACTGTCCTGGTAACCAGCCCACCTAAGTACACAGGGATCCTTGTTTCAATGAGGCTGGTCACTCAGCTGGTACTTGTTTTGCTTTCATTTCTCCTGCTACGGTGAAATACCCTGTCTAAGAGCAACAAAAGGGAGAAAGGAATTCACCTCACTTACAAGTACAAACCACAGTCCATCATTGTGGGGAGATCAATCAGGGACTTCAAAGAGCTTGTTACATCACATCCGTAGTCAAGAGCAGAGAGTAATGAATGCATACATGATTGCTTGTATGCTTGATTTCAGCACTCATAGGGAGTTCAGTTCCTCCTGCCTAGGGAGTGGTACCATTCACAGTGGGCTGGGTCTTCCCATACTGATTAACAAATCCTCCTAACATGTGTTCACAATCCAACCAGATCTAGACAATTCCTCTCTGAGACTCTTTTTCCAGGGGATTCTGGCAGATAAGTCAATCTATGTCTAAAACTACTACTAGAATTTGGCAAGATACACGTGTTTGTTCACCAGAACTATGGGGTGAATGGGAAGGGATGGAGAGAGTTGTTTCTTGTAGAGAGAATCACAGTTAGAGGACTGAGTTTGCCTTCCAGGAGTTTTCCTGTTTTTGGAAGTAGCTGGCAACAAAGCAGAAAAGACACTGTTGGATTTTGCATCTCATAGTGATTGGCAGAATGGAATGAGAATAGTTTGTGTAGATACCAGTAGATGACTCAAGAAGGCTCAGCTTTACCTAGGGCTACAAAAATAGAAGACAGAAGAGAGCCTGAGTTCTTATATTCACAGGCAGATCAGTTCACAGTGACACTAGATTTGATCCCTGGTCCCTACCCTGGAATAGAACACAGATGAGGTAAGAAGCACAGGTCATTTTTGCCTTAAAAGGGGACTACAAAAATAATAGCATATCTGTGAGGGCCTATCAAATGGTCCTGGTACCATAATGTCAGTATGGAAGGAATGGCAGTAGAAGTTTCCTGTCACCAAAGTGTATGCTCTGTAAACATGTAAAGACATGAACAAACCTATCCTCCTAAATATTTTAGGACAGCCCCAGTTTATTATTCCCTCATAGTCACCAGAAATTGCCAAACGCCAATGTATAAACTCCATTCTAATCTAACATTTGGACTAAAATTCTGCAGCAAGTTATATATCATATTTTTTTTATAAAATAATGGCTACTATGCCTATAAAGTCACATTTTAATGACAAAATCTTAGCATTTTGCAAAAGTTACTTGAATAGAGTTAAATTAGGAACTTCTATCCAGGAGGCAATGTAATACAGCTGAGAGAATAGAGGTTGTGCAATCAGACAAATCTAGATCTGAATCTTACCTCTCATTTTCCTAATTGTGTGAATGTACCAAGTTAAATCTCTTTTTAAAATGATAAAAAATTGGAGTAGGGCTCTTCTTAAGATGGCTATTGCTTGCCATGGAAGCCTTTCATCTCATGTTTGATACAGAAACCCTTACAAACCGTAAGCAGAGAACCAATTGCACAAATTTGTCACCTGATCTTTACACACATGCTGCAATATAAGCATACACACATATGTAGACATACTAAGTAAACATTCAAAAATAAAAATGTCTTCATTTAAAAAAAATCTGATGTGGCCCCATTTCTTTTATACATTAAGTAGATAGGCTATTATCTTAAGTATAGGGCTATTCTGAGCTATAAACCATGGAGTACCCCAGTCTGTGTAGAAGTATCTAATACATGTATGAAGCAGGAGTTGTTTATGTTAGCCTTTTACTTGAAAGTACAAAATATTAAAAATGTCAGTGCACTCAGGGAGTAAGATTTGGGGAAAGGATTTTAGATTTTGCTGGGAACTCTTCAAGAGTTACCTCACTCTTGGTAGAAATCATTTCTTGATGAAAGAATTCAAGAAGTATTTAACTAGTGCAGGCACACATAAGAATACAAAAGCAGAATGCTTCCCAAATGTCCAAAACATCTAAAGGAAGACGAATAGTCCTTAACAACTTTCTGGTGTGTGGCTTTGTGGATTCTAAGCACAACAGCTCAGCAGCTTAAATATTTTACTTGGAAGAAAAGATATTTACTTGCAAAAAAAAATTACTGAAGAAAAGAACTGATTATGCTCCAAGTCAAAGAAATAAGACATAGATCCAGGCTCTGCTAATGAGCTTGGGCAAGGCTTGGACACTCTGCTGTCTTTAACTGTGTGTAGTAGTCTTCTTCCAGAGAATAAATCAAGTGCAGAGAATAAGCCTATTTCATTTATTTTAACACTGCTCTTCTTAATTACCTGTATGATTTTAACTTTGCTTTGCTTAATTATAATGTGTAAAGTGCTTAACTCAGAGAAGTAATATGTTCAGACCATTTAACATCCTAATTGTACACTATCAATGAAATAAATTACTGGATTAATTGTAGCATTCATAAATGTTGTTGGAAGGATATCATCTGTCTGAGTCACCACAATTTCAAAGTCTTATTTTTGCATAGGAACACTTCTAAATTAAGAATTCAAAAAATAAAACCCCAGCTCTCATAGTTATTATGGCCTTTTGGGCCACTGAGGCTCACTCGTCATTCTGTCTTGGCAGATAGTGTGTGTGTTAAGTGTCAGGCAAAATCTTTCCATCTGCTCTGAAAGTTTGATTCAAAAACTTCTGTATCCAGGTCAGTTTGGAAATTATCAATTGCTTTCTCCTCTCTCAGAAAACTTGATATATATAATTCTTGAGTGCTACACTTGCTGAGTATATTGGAGGCTCTTTTCCTTTGTGTGGGAGTTTTACATGAAATGCATTTTGTAAAATTTTATCTCAGTATCAGGTCTTTGAAAGAACCTTCCCAACTGTGGTTTCAGGAAAAGGTAAATAGGTCTCAGAGGAAACAAAAACCACCAAAGTCTGGCACTGACTTTTGTCTTTTCTTTCTTCTCCTTTCTCTTCCACTATTCTCGTTCCTTCCTTGAACTTGGGCACCAATGCTTTCCCATGCACAATATTATTGCTGATGCTTTTAACAGCTATTTTGCTGTGACTGCATAGTCTGTACAGGGCCTCCTTTCTCTTTATAGGAAAGGAGTCCAGAGAGCTCAGCTTTCAGATGACCTTGTTGTTTCCTGTCTTTTCTCCCTCCTTTTCATCGACCTGGAATTTTCCATTCTCAACTAACTGTCCTGGGTTAATACTGAGTTGTAGATGCCAGAAAATAGAGGAAACAAAATGAGAATGATTTCTTGAAAGTTGAATTTAAATGTTTCAAAGACATCTTAAGAATGGCATGAATTCAAGTTCAATAAAATCATGACAGGGAGTGTTGTGTTGCCAGATCAAAAAGAAGTGTGAAAATAATGCTCCATTGGAACTAGGTATGTCACAATTGTGAGCCATCTTCACAGGAAGCTCTGTCCAGCCATCAAGGCCGAACTGATCAAGCAAACTTATCAGTTAACTCTAGTCAGTTAATACTTAGTTTTTAAAGAAAGATTTTCAAAAATATGAAAAAAAATCATCTGTTTAGTGTCAACAATAATATAAGGAGCTTTGTTAATTATTTCAGAAAAAAAGATACATTAAAAACTACATTTTGGTCATGCATTATGCATAATTCTCAATTTCTGTGTACTACTAATTTTTCTAAATGTGTATTACAATAGGAAATATGCTAGAGAAGCCAGGTAACAGGTCTCTGATCTGAGTGAACACCCGTATTGTCAATAAACTGTGACCTTGAAGGGCAGCATTTGTCCACAGACATCTCTGTTTCCAACCATCTAGCCTGCTTGGCATCCTTACCACATAGCATAAGTTTTTATTGAGCTAAATGAATCAGCTGCAACTCAGTAGTGTCATCAATAGTTTTATAACTGTAAACAAAAAGCTAAAAATTTTATGATAACTGGTTCAGAAAATTCATGCCCACTTCCCTTGAAAATGGCAGCCTTTTGAAATCTTAGGTCCTTGTGGTTATCATCCACATGTTAGACAAAATGACTTTCTTCAATCATTTGGATCATCTCTGTTAATAAAAACTAAAAACAACCTCATATGAAAAATAGGAATTTGGCTCTGTTCCCGAGCTCTCATCCTCACTTGATAGCTACATTATTTTTAGCTTGTCTGCCCT